GTTTGCAATATTTATTTGATTTGGATCCAAAGGTAATTTGGAAAATCTTCCTGTAGATACACCTCATACCTGGCTATGTGGAACAAAGGCTAGATTTTGTTTGGGACTAGATAGTAATTTAATAACCTTTCCAATATAGCATTAAACTAAAACACATGCTTACCACAAGAGCTGAGAGAAGACTATTTAGGGTTGTCTCCCCCAAATCTGTAGGTATCTTGCTTCTTCTGGCCTATGCACTGTGATGTTGTGATGACTTCTGGATCAAAATCTCTCTTGTATTTCTGTTTCACTTACATGTATTTCATAACAGTTGATGATTCAGAAACATTAAGAGCAAAAAAGTCTTGACCTCCCACCAGCCTTTCTGGATTTGATTACCAGCTTACCAATGGCTGATAGTTTGAACAGAATTTAATGCTCTCTAATTTTCCTTGATAGGGACTAGGAAGCATGTTATTTTTTATTATTATTATTATTATTTTCAGCCTAACTGGCAGCCCAACAAAGCCCAGCAATAAAAAGCTCCATTCGTGTAATAAACTGTCATACATTCTACTACTTATGAACATGGGCCCTGAAAATGAGCAACCTTCCTGCACATTACATTAAATGCAAACCAGATGGGCCCTTGAAAATCCTTCTCTTTGTAACAAGGGGCTAAAGGAGCTGGTGGTCAGAGGGTCTTTTTCACTATGCAAATAAATAAATGAGTTTAACTACATTATTTCCCAAAATCAGCAATGGGAAACCTATGTGGAAACATTATGAACAGTTAGCAAACATGCTGGTGAACCAGAGTAAGCACAAGTGGAACTCTTCAGCTCTCTTAAATGCAACTATCTAAATACCGGAGGTGGGGTCAATCTCATGCAACTTTCTAGTTAATGGCCTCTGGCCACATGCCTATGGACTGCATCCATGACCTGCTGTGTATGCTCTGACACCCAAACTTGATGTGTATGGATAAACTTGGAGACACAAATGGGTAAAATGAATCCCTTCCCTAACACGTCTCAGTCAGATACGGTCATTTAAAGTTCAATAGTCATCAGAGAGAAGGGAAACCTTCCAGAGATGACTGGGCCCATCCTGAGTAGGTGTCATGAGGCAGAGAAAACCTCAACAGATCAGATAGGCCTCGCATTTAGATAACTCTTTAACTTAAATACATTTTACTTTTAAATAAAAGTAAATGCATTTTACTTTTGGAGTCCTACGGACAGAGAACAGGGATAGCATGACTGAGCCAGGGACTTTGTTATCTCTGGAGTGTACCAGAGGATGTCTAACTCCCTGCACACTGAGCACATGAAATGAGACAGCCTTTAAGGAGTTGTTTGATACCAACTAGCTCTAGCATGTCCTTTGATCCTCTTTCTTGTGATTATAGGTGATATCATAAAACTCTTTCTAAAATCCAGCTGACCAAATTGACACTGAGAGAGATGTTTGTCCAAAATCATTCACAAGGCCTGCTTCCTCACCACCTTCCCCAGTGCCAGAAAGGTGTGCAGAAAACAGATTATCTTCAGTGACACATTGGGGTGTAGGGTATGTGTAGGCTTGATGCAAGCCAGAGAAGACAAGCAGAGAAAAGTGTTGTACAGGTGTTCCTGTGGCACAGCTGCCACAGATAAAGAACAGGTGTGCAGCATGATGGGATGAGAAGGGAAGGGAAGGGAAGGGAAGGGAAGGGAAGGGAAGGGAAGGGAAGGGAAGGGAAGGGAAGGGAAGGGAAGGGAAGATATTAACAGCTGAAGAAAATGCCCTGGGAGCATTGATTCTTTAAGTGTTACGACTGGCTTGGTGTCAAGATCTGAGAAGGTTTTGGGTAGACCAGGAAAAGAGATGCAGTTTATGGATCCTGAAGCTTCTTAAGGTGTTGTCAGGAACTGCTATCCCACCAGTGTGCAGCTCAGTTTATTACTGAGGCTGGGTGGAGCATTTGCTGAGGGTGAAGTCACCTTGTTGAGCTCTAAATACCTTCCCTGGAAAGGCAAAAGTGCAAGAGCCCATAGGTCCAGTACTCAGTCAAGGTGCATACACAGTGGCTAGGGTGGGAGGTCGAGGCACAGCTCATCTCTAAACCCAGTGTCACTAGTGACTTTGGGAAGGCCCACAGTCATGTTTGCCTTATGGTCTTCTAAAACAGCAGTTCACAGCTCTGCTCAGTTCAGGCCAGTGTGGACCAGAACTTGGGAGGAGGAGATGCCATTGAGCGTTTAAACACTGTGTGCTGTGGTTTTGGGTGCAGTTTTGGTATGTCACAAAAAAAGGGCTGCCTGACGATATATTTTCCCAGAGGTAGAAAAGGGACAGGGATTGGAGGCAGACACACGTCAGGATTCCTGCTGAGTGTAGGGTTACAAGTCTCCATTGTCCTGGGCCTACGCATCCAGTCCTGGGTTTTTGTAGGTCCTGCTGGATGGGCTTTCTGCTTGCTCAAAGGTGATTTATTTTTACAAATTTAAATGAAATCCCCTCAGACATTTCTGAATAATACAAGAGTTTAAAAGACTATTTTTCTATTTAAAAATATTCTAGCTAGACTTTTTATTAAATCAAAGTTAAATCAAATAAAGACTGTGGTTTGAAAGTTCAGACTGAAGCAGGAGCTAGTCCTCTCTGAGGAGCTGTGCCCTTGATGAACGGGTGTCTGTCCAAGGCCCAATGAACAACCATAGATCACCAGCTGGAGGGCTCTGCTGGGAAGAGCATGGAACACCCTGTCCCTTTAGGAGATGGGATGTAGCAGGGCAGGAGGAGGGGATCACATTCATTGCACTTGTTTCTTCTTGAAATAAAACATTACATGCAGTCCTGGCATGTCACTAGCTGGTTTCAGGAAGCCTTACTTGCCCTGGAAGGCCCTTGATGACAACAGATGGCAGTTGCACCTCTTTCCCTAACCTCATTCTCAGCCACTGCCTCCTTCAGTGGCATAGTCTTGGATGGTAGAGCCCTGCTCCCTGCTGCTGCTCTCCTCCATGTGTTTGTGGGCTGGAGGATGAGGGCAAGATTGGTAAATACACCTGTACAAATGCCCTTCATGGGACTGGGAAGAAAGACAGTGACGCGTTCCTTTTTACCTATAGCAATCCCAAGTACTAACCCTTCATCCCACAGTGGGGCACAGTGTACAAAGTTTCTGCTGTGGTAACCTTACGAAAGGCACTGAGTTGGATAAGGAGGCTCTGTCTTGATGGGACAAATCTACTTCAGGACTCTGTGGTGGCTTACAAAGCAATGGGAGGTGACTGCTGTGTCCCGCTGTGGAGGGTCGCCTGTAGGGCTGGGGGGTGCCACCCTCCTTCTTCACTCCCCAGCTGGGTGCTCCTCAGGCTGCTCTGCCAGCCCAGCAGGAGCTGTCGCACCAGAGAATGTGACTTCAAAGGCAAGCCTGGGTGCCACATGAGATGCGTGACACTTGGCAGGCCCACCAGCTCCTGAGATGATGTGAAATGAAGGAAGACAGCTGTTCCCGAGCAAGGCCAGCAGGAAGAGCTGAGCCCTTACACTGTCTAAAAGTGTGAAGGAAAGGGAAAAGCAGCAAAAGGAGAAGAGCAAAGGGCTGGAGAGATGCCCAGACTGTGGGGGTTCTTCTCACTTTGAGAATTTGCAAACAGCCCTGTGTAGAGGGGCTGCAGGGGTGGAGCCATGACCTGGTGGACCACCAAGCTGATGGCCAAGCTGATGAGCCTCCAATACAGGGTCAGCTGCGAGGTGACTGCCCGCAGCCCTGCAGGGCTTAGCACAGTTGGTGTCGGTGTCTGTGTATCTGCTGGTCATGCTCAGAGGTGGCTTTTACCTTTAGGCACCTGGAAACGGCCCTTTCTCTGCTTTTTCTGTGACAAAAAACATGTAGGAAAATGGTTGCAAAAAGTAAGAATTGGAAAGCTATAGAGGAATTGTGGAGGTCTGTGTGCCGTCTTTCTTTCCCTTTGGTATCATGTTATCATAAGTATACTTTGATATCTGGGACAGCAGAAAAAAAGTGCTCTCACTGGTGTGACTGAATCTGACCATGGACAGACTCTGGGCCTGATTCTCTGCTGTGTTTTTCCAGTCTGACACCAGTACATTGCCATGATGACATCATTTAGATTATTTATGATTTATAGTGACTGAGAAAAATTGGGTCCTGTACAATAATGCAAACAATCAAAGATGCAAAGCAAAAATAGTGCCTTTGAGCTGCACTTTCACATTGTGTGATATTTTGAACACTTCATGTTGAAAGCCTTAGAGCGCACAAAAGGAATTTTCTTCATTTCATATATTATACTCTTGCCTGAAAGAAATAGCAAACGACTCCTCAGCCTGAGCATGCATTGCCTAGGCTGAAAGGCTGAATTGTTTTTTTATTTTTATTTTTATTTTTATTTTGTTTTTTCTTTTTTTCCTTTTTTTTTCTGTCTATCAGCCTTCTTCCAACAGATCTCCACTTAAACCAACAAGACTAGTTTCTGGACCCATGGCCAAGGAACCACAAATGATGCTTTCAGAGGCGGAGGTGAAATTCTGTTCTCTGTTACATTGATCTGAAGCAATTTTGCTGAAGACAAGGTTACCTGAAGCATTCAGTGCTCTTTGAGATTGGAACAAGTCTATCAGTGTGTTTGCAAACAAAATACCCGCCCCACTTCCCCACTGACCAACCTTGCATCACACTTATTCCCCAACAAATTGCGTTACTACCATCAGAACACCAGTTTCTTCCTAAGGCCTTGAAATGTTATATTTCATCCCCAAATTATACCAAACACTTGGATTGCAAAGCACATAGCAACTGCCTCAAGTCTGACAAGAGCCTACACAGAAATATTGAGCTTCCATTAAGTCTTAAAATTTTGCCACCAGAAATACCTTCAAAACTCCCACACAAAAGAATAATGATGAGCCACAACCCAGAACATGTAAGAGATGCTAAATCAGCATTTATCCAGTCTGTGCTCACTCACTTTCCCTCTCTTGACACCACTGGGAGAGGTACTCACCGTTCTTCCGCTCTGCAAAGGGTGGTGGCTGGAGCTTGGTGCCATCTCTCACTTCACTGACAGCCTTCTCTTTGCGTGCCTTTTCTTCTTCATTTCCACTTGGTGCACTTTTGTGGTCCAAGCAATCCTGTTTGATCACACCATTCATCACCGTGCCTGCAGGGACTGATCCAGATTCTGGTTGATCCACTTTGGATACTAAAGTAGAGAACCAGACACCAAAGCGACCCCTGAAAGAGAAGAGGAGCAGGCAAGAACAAATTCTCAAATCAGTCCTTGTAACAGTAAACAAATACTGGCATTTGTAAAGCAATCAGACCACAAGCAAGTATTCCATCTGTTGTCATGCATTAGAAACATTTCAGGGGAAGACTTCAGGATTCATTATTGCCTGTATGATCCTGCCCACCTTGTCTGTTGCGTCTGCATCCTTGGCTGCTTTGATGGGAGAATTTTCACCCATAAGCACAGAATATCTTCAGAAAGCCAAGGGTGTTATGAAATAACACAGGCACATGGCACCCAAATAAGAGAGCTCCTGAACAGTTAGAAATGCAGAGCAGATCTACAAATGGAGAACAACATTTCTTTATGTAAGGCTCTGGCTAGCTGAGCAATCTAGCTAATGGAAATAATTGCATACAACACAGAATAGGCTGCTAACTGCATGATACAGATAGCAAACGATCAATAGCAAGCAGCAGCTACCCTTCATACCAGAAAGTGTAAAAACACTTAGTAAACACTTAGTAAAGTGTGCATGCAAAACTATTCTTTGACATCAAAACTGTGATTACCACACACAGTAGAGTTAAAGCCTTTCTGAAGTATTTCACCAGATTAGGTAAAAAATTCTGAGAGTTCTTGAAAGATGAGAAGAATTGATTGTTTACTACATTGTTCTATTCTGAGTTTTACATGGAGTTTAGTCAACATACATCAGGAAAACTCTCAGGAAATTCTATAAATTCAGGTTTCACTTCAACAAAACATCTAGGGAAGGAGGTGCTTCCCTTGATGACACGTATATCTCACTGGAGAGTGGAAGTAGAAGGATACAGCTCATGCCAAATGTCTTTGTGGGATGTAGACAAACAACCCAAAAGGAGCTGCTGATACTAAGCACAGCAGCAGAAGGCTGCAAGGACCATTTCAACGAAGTGTTTTGTCCAAAGAAAAATCTCCAGATGCTAAATGAAAGTGAATGCCTGTAAAAATCAGCACCAGCTCCTAATGAGTCCCATCAGGAAAGAACTGAGGAGAGCTAAAAAAGGTCATTTGTAGAGAACAAGAATAGAAAAGTGCAAGATTGATTCAGTGATAAAATCTGATTTAATACAAAAAACTTACCAATTTACTGTATATGGAAGTAAGAATAGTGCATTGTATATGATACCATCTCCTCCACGCTACCCATGCCAGGACTTTCTTACACCCCACTTCCTACCCTGCACCGGCACAGAATTTGCTACCATTCTCATTCCCATCCATCTCACTGCTCACCCCCACCTGCCCTCACCACTGCCCCCTGGCCATGTCCCACTGGCAGCAGGTCACATATTGTGTCCCTCTGTCCTGCTTTGTGTTGCATTTCTTTGCCAGGAGAGATATCATGTGGGGTACCCATGTAGTGTTCAGGAAGGAGGTCCCAGGTGTGCCTGTGTCTTTGTATTGCTTTGCAGATGGGTCATAAACTGTCCCCATATGCATCGCCTGGGAAAGCCTGTGTCCTTACATAACCTTGGTGGCTGTGCACTGAAATAAAATGCAGAACCATGCTTGATCAAAATTCAGTCTGTGTCTGTGTGTCAGTCTGAGCAAAACCCTCACAGCAATTCCTCCCTTCTTCTTTGTGTTTCCCTCCACTGTCTTCGCTACTTGCCTTTGCAGCTCCTTCCCATCTTACATGCTCAACATGATGCATATTACTCAGGTCTATGCCATGGAAACAGCCCTGCAGACACCCAGACCAGCTATGGCTGTGTTGCACACCAAATCTTTGAACTGACGTTCTCAGATTGCATCTCTGCCTGAACATTTTTTAGCTCCCTTGGGCAGCTCATGGTCTCCTTTCTAGTGACACCACTGCGTAATCACCACTGTTATGGTCAACAAATCTGCTGTACATTCATTCACCAGTGGCTGTAGGTCTGTAGACCCACTTCTGAACAAGCAGCATTATCTCCAAAGCTTTCTATTTAATTCATGGCTAACATGGAACATGCAATAAATGTTTACATTACTATTTTAAAATGTACATTTTTTAACTTTTAGAAGTTGCTGATATGATGCATCTTTCCAGTGCAATAGTGGGTGATGACAGGGCAATCCAGCAAAATGCATCTGCTTACAAAAATGAGACTGTGTTCAAATGAACACTAAATCTTTGATAAATTAGTCAGGGCTTTGGTGACGTACATGTTGAACCAATATGACAGTTTTATATGGATTATGATTATTAATGTTTTTGAAAAATAGAGGTTGTGAGCCAGACATCCAGTGCTGAAACTGCAAGACCACCAGCAGAGGCGAGAGTCTTTCAGGAAGGCTTCTTACAGGCACTGTGTACAATCTTTTTGCACTCAGAGCATACGCAACATTTTAATTTGCAGTGATTGTACTGGGGTCCTTACTGTCTGAGCCAGGAGGTCACGCTGCGGCCCCGGAGATGCATGCTTTCACAACACTCTCAAGTACCACTGGCTCAATGGTGTTTTTTTTCTAAAGTCAGTTTTGGCCTCAAAACATTCCACATTGTTCACTCACTTCAGCCTGAACTGATTGTATTTACAAAGTTTAAGCACACTTTTGAGCCTCAAAGCACATCTCCCATCAACCACTGCTGCCAACACATAAATTGCAAGTCTATACACAGTACAGGCCGTGTCCCATCTCTCTCTGGCTATAAATATAAAATTCATAAAGCTAGGCTACAATGGTAGCTGGTGGGTGCTTCCTTGTGTGACACTGGAGATTCTCAGGAGCAGCGGCTTGGTTCACAAGCCTCCCTGCTTTCTGTGCAGAGAGCAATGTAGTGTGGAGGAAGATCAGCTTTGCTTCCCACTACATATGTTTGTGCACCCATAAAGGCCCATATGGGGTTTGGTTGCGTCTCTTTTCCAAGGACTTCAGTACTTAAATTCAGGGTCTTCTGAAAGCTACCCTTGTCAATCTTGTCAGGGACTACACAACTACAGCGTCCCTGACCAGATCTTTCCCTGGGGTAGACTGGTGCAGATCCACAATGTCCAGACACTTCGTCTCATGCATGAACATTCAGGAACAGGCACGGATTTCCTGTCAGGAGGTAGTGCCTGAATGTCACTGCCACTTGCCAGTGAAGTTTCACCATCCCCAAGGACTGGAGATGGATGCTGAGCTCAGCACTGACAGAGCCTGAGCCTTGTGTCCCTCAGGCAACCGACTGCCTCTGGATCAGTGGCTTGCAAGGTCGCTGCGACACTCTGCGGTACAGCCTTCCTCCCACTCTTGCAGGAGGAGGTAATGCAGCAGTACAACCAGCCAGAATGCCCTTCTACCATTCCCCTGCTCCTCCACCTCCCCAGCAGCTGTTGCAATGCCCACAGACACCATGTACTCTTTTGACTCCGAGATCTGCTGTCCTGCTCTCTGGGGACGAACAGTGCTGTATGGAAGGGAGAAGGTTCAGAGACCAGAAACCAAAGCAAGTGCAGCACAGGCACATGTGTGTTCATGGAGGCATGGACCTGGGACGTGGCTGGCCATGCAGCAGTGTGTCCTGACCTTCCTTTACTGGCCTCTATTTTGGAACAATCTGCAGGTATGCTCACAGCCAGTTGTTCATCTAAAGAGCTAAGCCCAGAGCTGTCACTGCCCTCATCCAGTCTGGGTGCCTAGTACTACTCAGGTGTTGCAGAAGTGCCATTGTGAAATCACCCAGCTTTAACTGGAGGAAGAGCTCAAACACACCATCCACCTATGCATGTTGCCTCAAGCTCTGCACGCTGCTCCAAGTTTATCAGAGCTGGAAGGAAGTCATTTTCCCACACTACAAAACTTTTTGTGATTTTTATAATTCTCCCTTACCCCTAATTGGGATAAGAAGTTGAATTCTCCAGGATACTGCAAAATAAACAAGATAAATAAAAATAGGAGAGCAAGTCACTTGTGAATTTTCACAGTATTATTTTAAAATGTTTTAATCTTTTAAAACTGTAATCTCTTCTTAGAAAAACAAACAAACAAACAAACAAACAAAAAACAACTAAAACATCAAGAGTAAAACAGTTTTTTTTTAATTATTTTTTTTTGGGGGGGAGGGGGCCGAAGGGAAGAGAGAAGAAAAGGAAATGGAGTGTCCCTACAGTAATATCTGTCATATCTGGGACATCTGTACAGGCATGAGAGTCCCATGCTTAGACACCTGGCTCTTACTGGTAGCATGCATAAGTTTAGGTGCAACACCCTGAAACACATTTTGCTTCTTATCTTTGGGAATGGTTTGATGAATCACACTTTCAGAAGGCTGCCCCCCTCCCTTATGTTACGTGATGTAATGTTAATAGCGTTGTTGGTCTGACCAGTTACTCCCTGTTCAAGTTGGACCCATACATCTAGTCTTGTTCACTTTATACCTTCTCACCTTTTCCCTTGTGCCACCTCCTGCATGCAAGATGGAAACAAGCATAGATTATACATCCTCAGATACTGAATCCATCTAAATCCTTGGCTGCTTTCCTGTTTGCTCCATCAGATGTTGAAGTGGAAGTAAATACATTTAGCTCTAATGCAAGTGAAGTGCTTCTTAGGCGATCCTGACTCAACATAAATCTTTAAATACCCAAAGAGAAAAAACAGAAGAAAGTTGTTCAGAGATGCAGTTCAGCCTTATCAAATTCTTCACATGTTTGTTGTGGTGTGTTTGTATTCCTGGACTTCTGCTTGCAGGAATGTTGCTGATAAAACCATCTCACTAAACATGGACTTTGTGTGTTTTAGCTGATGTTTACAGTGCTGAGACAGTAAGAGTAGCTCTGGATTCCTGTGGGCAGAAGTTTCATGGACATTTGCACTTTTGTATTGCAGATGCTGATCAAACCCTACTACGTACAAGCTTCATCAGGAACCCTGCCTGGTCTTCCTTAGGGCCATGTCAAGCTTGACAAGGAAGATGACAACTCTGAACGGTCAGCCCCACACCCTGAACAACAAGAGACCTTTGCTCTTCTGAGACCATCCCAGGGCTGCC